ATGGGATTTTGGTTCCCATTGACCATTAATCACATGTTCTTTTTTCAGGTTTATGAGGGGACCATGGAAAGTTTATTTTCCTGGATATCCCAGGAAAGTGATACCCATCTCTTAGGTGGATAAATAACTTTCTCACCTAGGAGGAAAGTTGCCAACACTTGAATGAGTCAAAAATGCCATTTTAATAATAGATTTTTATGGCTCAAATGGTCATTGTCTTATTTATATGAGAAATAAAAGAACATGGGTAAATGCACTTACTCGGGTAAGTGTTTCCCAAGAATAACTTACCCAAATAACTGCATTTACCTGGATAAATAACTTACCAAAAAATGGTCATTTCTTTTGATGTTTGCAAAGAGCTGAAATAGTAACATGTTCATACCATAGTCTGGTGATTCAATTATTTTAACTGGCTATATATCGAACAAATCAATATATTTGTTCAATTTCAGTTCTTAAGTTTGATTGTGGTCCATCCAATTATTGTTTTTCCTTTGTTTCTAGTTCTTCTCTTTGGGTAAACAAGAGCAGTTTGGTAGTTCACAAGGTTCAAACTATGGCTTTGTCTCCCCCACCCACATAAATAAATAAATAAATAAATAAATAAATAAATAAATAAAGAGAATAAGTCTATTTCTGTGTTTTCTTTCTCTAATTTGAAGGGAAGGTCCATCTCTGTTTAACTATTAATCAGTGACTATTGTAAGATAGAGAAAAAACAACATCTAAAGAAGGGAAAAGGAGCTTAAAGGATCATATAGTCTGAAATCATACAAAAAACCTAAAGATCCGGTGGTCTCAAATCATCTGATCATTCTCATCTTCCGCTTCTCTATCTAATCTCTTATGACAATACCCAATGGGCGCCCATTACCCAACCAATTTCAACTCGATCCAGTGGGTTGTTAACCTATATTCTACAGCCCGGTAACCAACTGGATGGTTTTGGACGGGCCGGATCAGAAATTGCCTTAGGCCCATAGCTATTACAGATTAAACAATCCAACCGAGATGTAATCCGCAGAAGTTGGTTCATGATTCATCACATGTGATAAAGAGGCATAGAAATCCATAGCAAGAGGAAACAAATCAATCCCCCTCTAAAGTAA